TGGTTTAATTATTTATTAATGGCAAGGATTAATTAATATGTTAATTAATCAAACGAATAAGTTCGTTAAAGACCTCGGGATAGTTTTTGGACCTTAAGGCCCAATGGGCTTCGAACGTCAAGCCCATTGACTTAAGTTGTATGACAACTTAATGACTAAATATTCACAAAGGCCCAAACAACCCAAATACACCCGAAGGCCGGCCATATTGTTAAGGGTAGTGAACTTGGACTTATTTACAAGTTTGCCACTCAAATGAATAAAGGTATAAATATGACTTTATAGCCAAAATTCATTTAGGGTTTGTTTTGGAGAAAATTGGAGAGAACATGTCTCTCCATTCTCTCTAAAGAGGCCGGCCCCTTGGAGGGTGCATCTAGCAATCCCACTACTCCAAGGTCACTCATTTCTTCTCCAATCTAACCTTGGTGAAGAGACTTAGAGGTTCTCAATTTTGGGAACTTGGAGAAACCTTTTCATCCATCCAAATCCATAGATTTAAGATGCAAGGAATGAAGGCCCTCTCTTTGGGTGATTAGCCTTTGCTTATGCAAAGAGGAATCTACAAAGGTATAAATCTCAACTCACTTTGTTTTGAGTTGATTTGAGTTGATTAATGGTTCACCAATCTACTAGGCTTTGAATTTCATGGGTAATGTTTTGTTTTTGAATGCATGCAAGCATGATTCCGCCTTTTAATTGTTAATTGCATGCTATAGATGTTATTCAAATGAACATGTTTTCACAAAATAATCCTTCATGCGAATTTTCAAGAAATTTTGGCCAGGATCGCCAGAACAATCCCTCCTCTCCGCAGCTCAACAATTTCAGAGATTTCTCCTCCTCCTTCTGGTAATTGGTCCCAATTACTCCACGATTTTCTTGGATTTTTACCTTCAAAAATGTATTTATCATTTAATAATTATTATTAATTGTCTTTAAAGTGCATTTAGATTCAAGAGGGATGCGAAAGAAAAAGAAAGAGAAGAATTCAAGAGCGACAGGCTGCAAAGCAGAAACACTTCAATGCGAGACAGACTGCACAAAACTGCAAGCTTATAATTGACAACTGAAATTACACAAAAGCCCTTAATAACGGGTGTAACGGGTGGTTAACGGGTTTCGCGGGTTCACCCAAAATGACCCGTTATTTAACGGGTGCTTAACGGGTTGACCCGTTAATCACCCAACCCGTTAAACACTCACTCGAATACTCATTTTAACGGGTCGGGTTAACGGGTCGGGTTTGAAATGCCAGGTCTATTCACAACCCTAGAAATCTAAACCGGAGGATCCGCCTATCAAATCTATCATCCATATCTTCTCAACATCCACATTATGCTTCTAAAAAAACATACTAAAATTTCATTACGATCCAACGGCTGGATCTCCGCCAATCACAAAATCAAGTGGCGGTCAACGTTCGATTTTACAAACTTAGAAATCCAATTCAGGAAGATCCGTACATTGGATTCCCGATCCATAAGTTTCTATGGTCCTTAAATATTGCATACTATAATAAATCAAAGTTTGGTGACGATCCAACGGTCAGATTGTTAATGGCTATAATATCGAGTGCCGGACCTTAACAAAATTATACTCAACAATGGATTTTAGTTAATAGGATGTCATATATGGAATCAGGGCATCAAATTTAACTTAGGGTAATCAGGGGGTGCCTCGCCCCACACGCCACCACACACGACAGCCGACCTCCTCAACTTGCTGGAAAATTCAACCATTTCCAAAAATTCTCAAATTTTACAGGCAAATATATCTTAGTGAGGTGAGTAATTTTCATACCTAGGGCGAGGTCCAATTTGGCCAAGAAACCCTCTGAAAGTCCTTGAATCCACAGGAAAACCCTAAAATTGGTGGTTTCGATCCATCATTTTAGGTGCTCTGCTGCCCCCAAGGTGGTTTGGGCTTTGTTCCTAGGCTTATAAGAAGTGGTTTGAGGGTAGTGGTGATCGATGTAGCTTTCACAATCGTTGGAATTCCACCGTGGTACCCTTCGGAACCCACGAGTTTCGTCCGTCACAATACGGGGCTAAAACTCAGTGAAACTGAGTTGGAAATGGAAGAGGGGAAGATGTTGATTAATTTGAGGGTGTTGGCGAGGTTTGGACCGCCAGAAAACCAACGAAAAGTTGTTGGGAAAGTGGCGGAACGGGTTGAGTCCGATGGGTTGCACGAGTCAACTCGTTTCCCCTTTACTTCTCTTCTCTTCTCTCCCCTCCCATGCCCTCCTTTCCATCTTCCTAATTCGGCCAAATCCCAATCCCCCTATCTCCTTTCTCTCTTTCCCTCTTCATTACATCCACACATGTGGCACTCCCATTGCTCCAGATTTTCTGGAGCCTTTCTAATTAATGAGAAAATGTCAATTTTACCCTTGACTTCTAATAACTTCTTCATTATAACTCCGTTTCACGAACGGTTTTCGCTTACGCGCACGTAAGGTCATCCTCTATCCAAATATGTCAAGAAAACCCATTAAATATATAAGGATAAAATAAGTCCTCGTATCATTATATTTAGCCAGCTCGGCCATTTTCATCTTTTCTACTTAACGATTCTACGTAAATTATAATCATTTTTGAAACCAAAACATAAAGAGTTCTCAATTCAATTTTTCATAACCATAAATCGATTTATTTTCAATTTTTCTCCACATAATCATATATTTAAATTTTCAGGGTATTACAAGCTGGTCCTGCTTTTCATCGAGAAGTAAAACATCGATCAAATCCGAGAACTTAGTGAACTTCTTAGCTCTATATTGTTGCTACAGGACAATTTTAGTAGTAGAGAAGGTCGAATAGGTCTTCTCCAGGAGATCCTCTTCAGTCAAAGTTTCATTACAAAAGTTGAGAAGTGATTGGATTCGACAAACTTTAGAATTATAATCATTCACAAACTTAAAGTCTTGGAAGCACAAATATTGCTAGTCATGTCTTGCTTCAGGCAAAAATATGTCCTTTTGGTGATCAAAACGATCAGCCAAAACGACTCATAGTGCACGTGGATCCTCCTTAGCAAGGTACTCAGTTTGCAAGGTGTCATGAATATTTCTTCGGATGAAGATCATAGCATTGGCTTTCTCAGCTTCGCCAACCGAATTGTCCGTCTCTGCTTCAATGGTGGGACACAAGTTCTTTGCAATGAGGTGGAGCTTCACATTTTATACCCACTTGAGGTAGTTCCTTCCAAAGATCTCCAAAGCGGCGAAGTCGAGTTTGTTCAAATTCGACATATTCCAATCACAAAATAAAGGACAAGATGTGATTAGTGCAATGGAGAAAAAAAAATCAATCCATTCACACAGGAGTAGAACATTCATGTTCTAATAGACATGTATTGGTTAATATTCGAATGAAAAAACTTCGGGTTTTCATGGGTGATGTTTTTAAGTGAAAAACTTTAGGTTTTCAAACAAGGCATGTTTATAGAAACTTCAGGTTTCAAAATAATTATGAACTTCAGGTTCATATGTTCTTGCAGACAAACACAAATATATACACAGAAATATGAAACAAGAAAATATGCTAATAGAACTTCGGGTCTATAATTAGAATTGAATTAATTATTTGGACTTCGGATGAATTTTAAAGTGTGGGTGAAAAAATATAAAACCCATTGGGCCTAAAGTAATTAGGCAAATAAAACTCGGGGCCCATAAAAAGGCCCAAGCCCTACAAGTGGGCTGAGCAAATTTGATACATGTGGCCAAGCCCAAGAATTTGGTTGGGTTAGTTGATCAGGCCACGGGGGTTCAAGCCCAAGGTAGCAAACGGGCTACTTTGAAAGAAAAAGGTGGGGCCCAAGAAATAGAGGCCCAGATGGAGGACGGGCAGTGAACCTAGGGGAGAAGGGAAAATGGATCGGGCATAGGTATTGGGCTGCTTTAGGGGAATGTGTGTGTAGCCTATTTTATCTGATAAGGGTAAGAGGGCCGGCGACAAGGAGAAGAGAGATTGAGAGAGATGTGTTTGTTGAATTGTAGGGGAATGTGTGTGTTATCCCTCCTACATAGTGTCTTTATTTATAGTAGTCAAGGAGAGAAGAAATTTCTTCATCCCCAAGGAATATTGTAATAGGAAATGATAACTAGAATCAAATCTAATCTAGGATTTACACAATCACACTTTAACTAGGAAATTTTACAACAGTTTTCAAATTTTAGTTTTAAGTTTTTAATTTTTGCAAATTATAGGGTCATTTGATAAGTTTTTACTTTTTAGTTTTTGCAAACTAAAAATAAAATAATTATCAACCGACTCTAAATTAAACTGAAAATGAAATAGATATCAAATTGATTTTTCACTATTCACTAGCTACATTAACAAAAGGGTAAACTACGGGGTTAACCCCCTAAACTATTACCTTAGTTGAAAGTGACCCCTGAACTATTTTTTTGGTAAATTAACCCCCTAAACCATTTAAAATAAGCCAATTAACCACTTGTCGTTAGATTTTGTCCACTATTCTGTCAAATTCAAGGGTAAATTAATCTTTTTATCATCAATTTTTACTTGTCAATTATAACCATTAGTAAAATAATGACACGTGGACACAAAATAATTCAAAAACTAAGAAACATAAAGAAATCAAACGTTTGCATAACAGACAATTTCACATTGTTATTACATAATATTATGTGCCCACATGTCATAATTTATTGGTGGTTATAAGTGACATGTAAGAATAGATGATGAAAAAACTAATTTACCCTTGAATTTGACATAATTGTGGACAGAATCTAACGACAAGAGATTAATTAGCTTATTTCAAATAGTTTATGAGATTAATTTACCAAAAAAAAATAGATAGTTCAAGGAGTCAGTTTTAGCTGAACTAATAATTCAGAGGTTAAATGACAATTTACCCTTAACAAAAACGCTTGAAAATGCTATTACACGATGTCACCTCCTTCCCACCACGTGCCGCGCCTCCTCACGCACTCCCCAACCCGCGAGCAAACACCATCCCCTACTCACTCCTCCACTTTCCATAAACTCTCTCTCTCTCTCTCTCTCTCTCTCTAATTACACAGTTCCAAGTTCCAACAGTCGACCAAATGGCCCGACTCCTCACTCAAACTCTCCATCTCCGTCAATCGCTCCTTCGCCGCCCGCTCCTCCCACCCTCCCTCACCCAAGCCCACCGCGCCCGCTCCTCCCGATCCGGCAAGGCCGAGTTAATCGAGATCGAGCTCGACCCCTCCACCTCGTCGTCGCCAAGTGATTCAGAGAAATTAATGCTCAAGAAACTAGACGACATCGTTCAGACCATCGTCGTCCAGAGGGCCACGCCCGATTGGCTCCCCTTTGTCCCCGGCTCCTCGTTCTGGGTCCCACCTCGACGCGCCCCGTTGAAAGTGACCGACTTGGTTGGCAAATTGGCTGACCAGCTCACGGATGAAGAAACCCTCTCTGTGGCCACTGATCGTGGATGGCCTTGCTCCCAATTTTTCATCAATGGCGGTATGGGCAATTTCTTTTTCTTTGTTTTATGCATGTAGGAAGTGTGTTTAGTTTTTGGTGGAATTGCTGGTTATTATAAGGAATTGAACTGGGTTTTTAGTTCTAAGTATGCGTGTGAATTTTTTTTTATTGTTGTAGTTGCAAATTGTTATTAATTAGTTTTTGTTTGATGGGGGTCGTGGAATTGCTTCTTTTTACAAGGTATTGAAGTGGGTTTTTAGTTTTTGTATATACAAAATGTTTTTAATTTGTTTTTGTTTGATGGGTTTGGTGGAATTGTTGGTTTTTATCAATTGAAATGGGTTTTTAGTTTTGTTTCGTGGCAATTAATGGGACCTTTTGTGTTTGGATACCTTCAAGGGCTTCAATTGTAGCTTCATTGGTGAACATATTTGGGACATGATAGAAATGCTAAATGTTTCCGATATCCGTCATGAAATGTCTAATTGATTATGGAAAGTTGACCTGGAAGAGAATGAAATGACATCTATGCTTTTGAATAGAGGAGATGAGTGCTGTTTGCTTATTTTATCATCTTCCATGCTAGTTTTAAATGCAACGGACAACTATATAAACAAATGATATGTTTTAGCTCTTAATAAATATTTTGGGTATAATCAGGTACTGGATCTGCAGAAACAAGGGAAGTGGATACGGAGGCAGAAGGATCAACAGAAATAGAGGTGGAGGTGGAGGTAAAGGTTTTGACTGATTCACAGAAGCCCTCTCGCTGTGAGGATGATTAAGGTTTTCTCATCTCTCTATCAGCCTGTTTGCTTGGGTGAGTTCCCTTACTTATGACAACCACTGATGCTCCTTTGCACGCATATCATGGCCAAAATAGTGTTGTCATTGCCCCTTAGGATATGGATTTAACTTATCTCTGTTTAGGTTTAGGCTGTTAGTTTCGACCTTGGTGGTAAACCCACTTGTTTGTATTAATATATTGTAATTAATATCTTCAGCAATTCTGTTTGTGTTCTGTTGCTGTATAGTTTGAAATAATAACACCCAACAACAGAAGGGAATGAAATATTAAATGTTGAGCATGTTGTATGTGCATCCACGCGGTCACAACTTTATCCCCCAGATAAATGATCTTTATGTATAGAGTCTCATCGTGTATTCAGGTGTATGATCTTGTGGCTTCTCTCTCTCTTCTTTTCTAGTTTTGAATTTCTGTTTCTACGTGCTTTGCTACAACGTTCTGAGTTTGGATGATGGTGTGTGTGTCTGTCAACGGCTCTTTTAAAACTTTTCAAGGTAGACTAGACCAAGCTCGCTTGGCTTTGCTAAGCATCTCAAAGCTTCGAGAGAAGAAAATTTTGGGCTGTAAAGAGCCTATCGAGCTAAGGGAAAACTACACCTATGCCCGTCACACTTTGTCTGGTGTCACTTTGCCACCTGAGAAAAACTTATTTTGTGCCCCCTTGAAATTGAAAAAGTTGCAATTTGAGGTTTACCGTCAGTTTTGTCCTATTTCATATTAGATTTTGTCATATGCCAAGCGCATCACCCTTTTGTGAGGGTACTTCTATGACTCATTATCTTCTCTTTCACCCATCTCGATTCTTTTCTCTCTGCGCTTTCCTTTCTCTCTTCTTTGTCTCTCGTCTCTGAACAAACACTTGGATTAGATCCAAACCCTTTTTGTGGGTATGAAAGTTGGTTTGCAGAATCTTCCCTTTTTCTCTCTCTCTCTTTTTTTTCGCACCTCATAAACTTTCTTCCCAATAAAATTTAACCCCAAACCGCAAATTTCCTTTCAAGATCTGCATAAGTTTTCTCCATTCTCTCATATCTCTCTTTGATTTATGGGCTTGCATGTTTCTGCTTTGTTAGTTTCAGGTCTTTATTAGAAATGGATTACACTCATGTGCATCAACTGAATAATGGCCCCTGAGTTGGAAATCAGTCATCCTGGTTTATGTATTGTGGACAGAGGATCAATCTTCTATCTTGTGCTTGTGATTCAGAGTATGCAAAAGTGAAGAAGCCATCTTTTAGATGTTCGGCAGCACCATATTGGACACGCGTGGCCAGACGGGACACAATGGTGTGTTCGGGTTTGGGTGGTGGAGATGATGGAAGTGTCATATGAAATTAGTGTTGTAAAATGGAGAGGACGGGATGTTGAAGATTCTTGTTCTCTTGTATAAATAGCATTTATTTTGTGTTGTAGCCATATTTCATAAAACCAAAATTTTGAACTCTGTGATTAAGTTAGTCTCAGTTCAACTAAAGTCAAACTTATCAATGGTAAAGTTGTTTGTAAGTTTGAGAACTCTACTAATTATTCAGGCCCGCTCAATAGCCATTTCGTTTTTAATTGTTGTTTCTTTTTTATTAGAAATAAAGAGGAAATACAAAGAAGAAAGAGGAGGGAGGTAGGAAGGATGCGAGAACACAATTTTAAGTAGGTTTTATTTTCTAGTTTTTTATTTTCAATTTTTGAACACACAATAGGAGCATAAATGTCAAGCGGAGTACCAAGGTGCTCAAGCTCAGACAGCAACAAAGTCATATCTCACTAAGTATGGTCAGCTATATGAATTCTAAAACGTCATTGTTCTTGGTTTTGTGCTATGTCTTTCGTTAGATTCAAGTAGTTCAAGTCTTTTCTTAGAGTCTATTCAAGTTTTTCTAAGCCTTCCTCTACCTGTGTGGCCCTGAGCCTCAGTCTTAATTCGAGCAGACAAACATAACCTTTGGTGTGTACGTTATGTGGCATGTGAGCTAAGGTTTTCATATAAATTACATTTAAATTTAAACTTTTTATGGGCACTCGTGCTCTTGGTAGCCATAAAAATATATTTTCCAAATGGGTTAATTAGCAAAATTTTGGGAGGAGTTCAAAAAATCCATCTCTAGTCATGTTCTCTATCCCATCTTTTAAGGTATAAATTCACTCAAGGAAAATTTTATTTAAACTCATGTAACCTATTTCTACATTTAACTTGCTCTTTGCACCTATTTGATTTTTAACTAAACTATTAATATCTCTTTAAACCCAAATTTATTACCTGTTATACTACTATAAACTTAATTCAATATGTATATTTTTCTTTACACCCATTTGATTTTTAACTCTATCTTTACGCCGTCTAAAAATGGACACTAAAAATTGGAGTGTGAATTCAATCATAGCTGACAACAAGATTGACACTTCTATACATGTTGACAAAAACCATGTATCACCATCTCTCCCTTTTCATTATCGATCAACGGGTGACTGGGACAACTTTTGAGCTCGATACCCTCAGCAACTTTGGCTCCGAGATGAAATTAAAATGTTGTTGTAACTTGTGGGAGGATTTCAACATAGAAATCTAAGTGTGTAATCCACACCAAAAGTCTGAAAAAGGGGAACTAAGTTGATGCACAAAACTGGAGGTCTTGGAACAACATAAATCCGACCGTGAATCTGCAAGTAATGTAAATAACACAAGATGTATCGTGGTTCACCCCCAAGGTTTGGGCTACGTCCACACTGATTATGTATTTCTCTGAGAAGTGAGGGAGAGAGATTCAGAGCCTCTAAGGGAGAGAGTGAGGTCTCTGATGGCCTAGGAGTTGGCCTCCTTCAATTGTGAGGGTGAGGAGTCCTTTTATAGAATAAGGGCTCCTCACTTATTACATATTTGCCCATTCTTTTATTACATTATTACATTTAAGTCCCCCGAGTATTTATACGAGGTCTAAATACGAGGCCCTAAATATGGTATAAACAGTAGTCCCCCAAGTCTTCAGTCAAGAGAGTCTTTTGGCTAAAAACTTGAAATTCAGTCCATGTGTGGGCCGAAGTAACTAGATGTTTTCTTGAACTAGATGCTTGATATGAGGCGGTGATCAATTTGAAATGATGCTCAACTAGAAGTAGCATATGCTGCGAGGCTGCGAGGCTCGTGGCTTATGTTGCCTTGGTTGGCTCGGCTTGTGGTGTTGAAGGTGAGGGAGTCCCTTTTATAGAATAAGGGCTCGCTCCTCAATACATAAATGATGGGCTAAAGTTGATGCTCGCGGCGAGACGATTACTTAGTAGGCTGCGATGCTCTCTAATGGTGGTGAGAAAGTCCTTTTTATAGAATAAGGGCTCGCTCCTTCATAAGGCTGCGATGCTCTCTATGGTGGTGATAGAGTATAGGGCTCGGCTCCTTAATACATAAGTGATGAGTTAGGAGTGATGCTCACAGCGAGGCGGTTGCTCAGCTGGCGGCGTTACTCTCTAATGAAGGTAAGGGAATCCCTTTTATAAAATAAGGGCTCGCTCATCAATACATGGACGATGGGCTAGAGTTGACGCTCTCTAATGATGGTGAGGGAGTCCCTTTTATAGAATAAAGGCTCGCTCCTTAATACATAAGTGATGGGTTAGGAGTGATGCTCGCGGCGAAGCGGTTGCTCAGCTGGCGGCGTTGCTCTCTAATGAAGGTGAATGAGTCTCTTTTATAAAATAAGGGCTCGCTCCTCAATACATGAATAATGGGTGCTCTCTAATGAAAGTGAGGGAGTCCCTTTTATAGAATAAGGGCTCGCTCATTAATACATAAATAATGGGCTAAGTCCCCCAAGTATTTTTCATGAGGCCCAGTTGAGGCCCAATATATGGTACATAATGTAGTCCCCCAAGTTTTCGGTCAATAGAGTCTGTTGGCTGGAGACTTCAAATTGAATCCATGTATGGGTCGAAGTGTCGGTTGTTCGAAGGCGGTATTTGTATACCCTGCACTGAAGCTTCGTAGGTGAAGCTTTGCAAGTGAAGCTTTGAAGCTAGAGCTCTGTAAATGAAGCTTTCGAAATTGGAGCTTTTGTAAATGAAGCTTTTGAAGCTAGAACTCTGTAAATGAAGCTTTTGAAGCTGATTGACATGAGTGATGCTCATGAATGTTTGATTGACATGAGTGATGCTCATGAATGTTTGATTGACATGAGTGATGCTCATGGATGTTGACATAAGTGATGCTCATGAATGTTGACATGAGTGATCCTCATGAATGTTTATGTATGATTGACATAATGCTCATGTATAATATGAAGTGCTGGGCGTACTTTTGATCACCTGGTTGGTGGCATGAAGGAGAGTACGGGTTGTACATTTCATCACCTGGTTGGTGGTAATAGCGGCGGGTTGCCGAATAATTTTGGAGTACTGGGCGTACTTTTGATCACCTAGTTGGTGGTAATAGCGGCAGGTTGTCGAATAATTATGGAGTACTGGGCATATTTTTGATCGCCTGGTTGGGGCTCTTTTGGGCTTATGGGCATTCGCCCTCTACACAACATTCCAACCCATTTATTTTGGGCTTTGCCCTTTTTTTTTTTTTAATTACCCTTTAATGGGGTTTATACAGATGTTTTCGGAAGATACGAAAAATAAATTACATCATTCAAAAATACTGCTGTAGAAGGTGAATATGGCAGATGGTTGGATAATGGGATGGTATCTGCACAATTGAAGGTTGGGTAGTGGAATGGCAGATGGCTGCGAAGCTTTTGCTTTAACCTTTTCTTTTCCTTTTTGCTTTTCCTTTCTGCATGGTCCACGAGTCCCCCACAATTATCTCTGGTCTTCCATTATTATATCTGTCCACCCATGTTCTATGGCCTTTGGAAACCATCTGACTTTAAGTTTTTAATTGCCATTGCTTTCCTTGCTTTTCTCTAGAATGACAACTGCTTGGACAGACACCACCCATTTGCTTTTCTTTATCTCTCCACTTCTTCTCTGTACTTGATCCGTAAGGCCAAAGTCATGTGCAATGTTGGCTCCTGCGCTGTCTCCAGTCTTTTCGAGGTCTCGATGGGTCAACCGAAGTGGTTCCTTCGTTGCGTTCCGACGGACCCGCTCGAGCAGCCTTATCAGAGCGACACCTCTGGTGAGGACGTGAACGGTCGAGATCGGTGATATGGGAGCGAAAATCCGACGCGGTTTCTCTGAATCGCTTCAACGTAACGACGATGGCGGTTTTGGAATCACCTTCATCGCCATTGTTCAAAGCAGTCGCGACCTGCTCGCTGCTTAATGCGCTTGAAGTCAGCGGAGGGAAGCGGGAGAATCAGTAACATTGTGAAAAAATGAAGGGACCCATTTGCAGGACGCCATGGATTTGCAGAATGAGCTTTGTGTTTGCAGAGGCCACACGTGCGAAGGAAGTGAGCGGTCTCCACAACATCATGAGAAGCGGAGTGCCTCCTTGTGTGGTTGTTTCTGGGTGATAACATCAAAGTTGAATGGATGGATGCATGTGGGCTTTTGATTACTTGAAGAGTTTTCTTTTTCCTGATAGAATAAAACAAGCAGCCAGCTTCCACCAATCCCCTCGCTTAGCAACAGGTGCAGGTGTCTTCAAGATAAAATCACAAAACAGATGACTTTTGACGAATAACATTCGCCCACCAAAATCCTAACCAACCGCCTCACCTCTCTCTTTCTCTTTCTCTAGGGATTCCTTTCAGACTCACAGCGAAGCTCCGGGGTTTCTTGAACCAGGCCGAACGCGACTCCCTATTGGAGACCCAGATGGAGCATAAACCAGCGTCGGGGTTTTAGTTTAGAGATCAAGCTGGGTTTGAGGCTCTCGGGACCTGGGCGGATGGCATCGAGGAAGGAGGTGAGAGAGCGATGGTTGTGACGATGTCGTTGATGGCGACTGCGGTGGAAGAAGCAGCAGACGTAGCTGTGGAAGCAAGCGATAGTGAAGACTACGACGAAGAGAATGACGACTGAGCAGAGGCAGAGGAGGAGCAGCAGCCATGAAAACGAAGAAAATAAGCTGTAACATCTTCAACGAAATACTGAGGCACTCGCAGTTAAGAGATCTTTGGAGCAAACAGCCGTCACAGCTCTTCTTAATGCAGAGGTGGTAGTGGTTTCTCCTTTTCCTCTGGTGGTGGATTGAATGATAGATTTGATTATCCTTCCTTCGACTTTGACCCTGTCAACATCAGAAGGAGAGCCTACGACTGCCTAGATGGATATGGGTCTCAACTTCGTGGGCTGTCATGGTAGTATCCACCGTTATGGGCATAGCAGTGGTTCAGATCACAGACTGAAAAGATGGCAACAACTTTGTAAATTGGAAGTTTGAGAGAGAGAGATAGAGCTCTGTGTCTGTGTCTTTGTGTGGGTTTTTGCAAATTCACGGCGGAGGTGAAAAATTAAGAGAGAACCGACATAACTTTTCGTGTCGATTCCCATAGACGGTGCCAAATGTTGATGCACAAAACTGGAGGTCTTGGAACAACGTAAATCCGACCGTGAATCTGCAAGTAATGTAAATAACACAAGATGTATCGTGGTTCACCCCAAGGTT